GCACTTAAAACAGAAATATACAGAAGCATCAGTAGGGAAGCTGGATGCTAAAAACCAAGACTGTTCATGGTTTTTATGAAGACGGGGAAGTAAGAAAGCCTATTACCTTGTTTTTTATAAAATAAATTATTATTTATTTCAGAACAATAAAAGTGAACTGAATATTTAGAGTAAAAAAACCAAACACTGAACAAAATAATCACATCCGGAGATAGCCTGAAAGTTTCTCCCACATTATTACAGTCAAGCCATGCTCATGAAAATTTCCTTCTACTTAGAAAGATAACTTTTTAGCTGGCTAGGATCAGTTATGGCACCTTTGTGTTTTGTCACAAAGGAAATTATTTTTAGGAATTCTGGAAGGATTCTCAGCAAAAATGAAGTATGTCATGGGCATGAAATGGGGAAGAAAAAAATAGGAAAAGAAAAATATTTATACTTCTCATACTTCTTTATTACACCAATAATAGTTCTTAAATATATTTTCATAGAATTTTGTATCTGTTGCAGTGACATGTTCTTATATTTGTAAATGGAAGTAACATTTTCAAAAAATAATCACTTTTTAAAAGAATTAATGGCTGTCAAAACACCAGTGGCTAAACAGTGCTAGACACTCTGTGAGTTTATAATCAATCAGTTCAACATTTTCTACTATGTTAGTTTTTCTATGACTTAATGACTGATTTTCCTTCTCACAGAATGACTTTGAACAAGTGGGAAGTAAAATCTTTATGTAATAGCATGTAAACATAGCCCATGATTTTCGTCTCAAGGTCAGATTCCTAGAATACATGTCAAGCCATTTTCTAGAAAACGATGAAGTGCCTGCCGTAACTGAAATGCTGTCATATTTTGTGTATTTCAATCTGTAATCAATCAATTATTTTCTGGTTTTGAGAACTATATATGATCTAAAACCATACTGTACTAGGAATTCCATATGTCACTGGTGTCTGAGACTGTACCAGACATCATGTGGGTTTTTTATTGTATTTGGCCACACATGCAGTGTGAACTGTTAACTTTTTGTATTTCTCCACTTACTCTCTCTGTTCAAGTTTTTAAGCTGTTCTGCTTGATTGTATATACTAACCACCACTATGGACCAGTCTGAAAAAAGCATACATTTCTAGCACAAAAATGCATGAAGCTTAAACTGGGCAAAGTCCTCTTAAACTGTAGCTAATTATCCCTTGCTGAAGGGTCAACATCCTTTTCTAAAGGTGCCTAACCTGGACAGTTAGACACCCAGATGCCTGGCCTACCACCTCAGCTCAGCAGCAAAGCCTCCATTTTAACAGGAATGGCTCAGGTGCTGTCAGAGTATTTATGGTGTATCCGTATCATACCGGTTCATACCCTCTTGCGTGCTGGAATTCTAGTTCTTCAGTCACAGAGCACATGTACTAGCTTGCACCTGGATTCTCTTCTGGAAGTACACAGGTACTTGTTTTGATGGAGAAATCTCCTCACAGACTAGAAGCAGCATCAAGGTCCTCTATGAGGACACAAACGCCCTGCTCTCCCAGGCCGCCTCAGTCTTTCAAGAGGCTCCCCAAATGCCTTGCGTGTCCTCCCACATCCACAGCTCAAACTTGGCATCACGCTGCAAAAATGTACCTCAAGCAGGCTGCAAAGCCTCTTTAGTGTAAACAGAGTAACGGATACAGATAGAGGCACAGTGCCAGCATCAGGAGGAGTCAGTATTTGTAGGAATGACTAGACAGGAGTGGAGTACATACTAGACAGACGCACGCAACCAAAGTACAAAAGTCAACACTATGGCAGGACCACATCATGACATGGCTGCTAATACACAGTGTCAGTGCAATTTAGCTGCCTCCAAAGGGTGGTGACATGTACAGAATGAACTTGAACCCAAGCACATTCTTTGGTCCAATGAACAACATAACTAACGAAGAGTCTACCCTTATAATACCCAAATAATGCAGACAGCTCTCCCCAGTATTTTGGGGAGGGAAGAAACATCTAACAGAGTAGCAGCACAGCTGCCAGGTCACTAGTCAAGAGGGAGATACACACACTTTAAAGAGGAACTGAACTCTTACTTTTCTAGACAGTATTTAGTTATTTAGGGAGTAGACTGGATGCAAGGAGGAGTTTTTTCCCCAGTGCTACTCTAGCCAGGCCACTGCAAATAAGGCAACGCAATACTCTGCAAATAGTGGTGGGACTGGAAACAAGCACAGAGAACCTAACTTACTAGTGACGCAGCTACGGTACGAGGAAGGAGCAGTATCTCCAAACCAGTCTTCTCAAAGTTGAGCAAACACAGTTCAACTGATTAAAGCCTCTGAAAGGCATGCCAGAGTTTTCTGCCCAAGTCCACTTCTAAAACATTTGCAAATTAAAATATCAAACTAATCCTATTTTCAGGAGCAATTCTTCTATAGTTCTGGAAAGTAAAAAGAGGGAAGATATGAGCACAGAACATAAACTGAAGTCTAGGTCTCTCCTCTGGAAAAAAATGATATTTACACAACAAAACAGACAATAAGAAGTTCAAGAAACCTTAAGACACCTCTGCACTTACTGTTGCCTTCAATCTTCTTTTTGTGCTGGATGTGGAGAGTGTTCTACCAGTGCTTAGGGGACTGATGAAGTTTAATAAGGTTGCTGAGGGATGTTCCTCTCAGATCAGGCCTGGCTTTCATGGGACCGCACAAGACTATACTTGAAGTATGAGAGGTATTGCAGAGCTGATGCTTAAGGCTGTAAGAAAGACCCTATACTGGGAAAAATATCAAGTTGGAATGGATGTTTGAAGGAGTAACACTTTCTTAAAAAAGAGCTTCCTTATAAACCTGTTTCTACTGATACATATAATCTATGATAAGGAAAAAATCTTCTGTTCTTAATTTGTAATATAAAAAAGAGGTCTTTTAGAAGCCAGTTAAAACTGCTTCCAGTGGAAGAGAAAAACAACGAAAAAATCCTGAACCCATACAGAATTCACATTTATGATTTAAGACAGACATGTACAAGTAATTAATGTATCAGATGAAAATTAAAGCCCTATGCAGAAATTATAGGCGTCTCTCCCTCCCACACATCTTTTTATTGCATCTTATAATGAGACAAATTTGATTGCAACACTAACAGAGCCTGCCTTGTCTACAGACACAATGGAGAATTAGAGAGACATCACGTGGGGTTTGTAAGGGTCCATGACGCTCTTGAAGCATGGGGAAGCAAGGAGGACAAGACCCCATTTGCATGGAGAAATAAAAAAACCTGCACATTGAAGCCTATCAGAGAAACTGAAGAGCCCAAGAAGCCAGTTTCAGAGTTTATGATATGAACACAAGGTAGTGAAAACCCTGCACAGCGAGGCCATGAAACCCTGTCTGAGGTACAAAGAAAGAACTCATACCTCAAAAAGATGGCCAAAGTAATGGTGTATAATGGCAATATAACCCATAGACAGATTCCTACAACAGTAATCTATGCTCCCAACTTTCTTTTTACAAAACACACCTACCACGAGCCTTTATAATGCACTAACTGGCATACTCTCATTAATGTTATACATGGGATAAGGTGTGAGAGAATTTTACCTTTGAGCTACAGAATACAATGCAGTCACCTTAAACAGTTCATATTTCACTTCCATTTCCTTCGATACACAGTTAGTACCTTAATTCCAGCTTCATCACTTCAGGGAGGTCTCCAATTCTTATTTCTTCCACTTGTAGCTCATTAATAGCATCTAGGAGTTTCTGTTGATCTCCAGGATTTGTAATGCCGATCTAAATTTAAAGAGTAATTCTAAATATGATTTAATACTTATTAGACATAACTGTACAGTACCATTTATTGTGTGAGTTTCTAATTATTAAGAGTCAAAATAAGTTGCTTTTAAGTTATTGCAACCAACTACAATGTATGTAACTGCCAGAGGAAAAAATAAAACCACAGAAATTATTCAATGATGCAAAACAAACTTACAAGAGCTGAGGAAGAGCCAAACTGAAATTGGCTCAGAAAATCCATTTAAGTTTTATTAAAAAATTAGTAGCAGTCTTTATAAGTACCTCTGTGTCGTTAGGATGTTATACTCATCTATTTCAGAATCATCTCAGTCATCTCTTATAGCAAAATAACCAACCATCATGATGGTGATAAAGCATTAACTCAGAAAGAAAGAATGGAAACTATCAAATCAGCATCAAATGGAGAATTTTACAGAAAGAGGCCACATTTTAAGAAGGGCTTTTACAAGCCTCTGGGTGTGTATTTTTTTCCAGTTAGAGAAACCGGTCTCATAAGATATACCTCTTTCTGAAACCTTATTTTCTTACAGAATCTCATTTACAAAATAAGTTACTTCTACAAAGAAATCTAGTTGGTTTACACTACCTCCAAAAACTCAAATGATCAGAAACTAGTAGAGAGAGAGAATATGATCTGTTAAAAAAGACATTCAGCTGGATGTTTCTACCATGGAATAGTCTGTAAAAGCAGCCTTTTTATACATCCGAAGGGCAGCATACTTATAAACTCAGAATAGCTTTCTTGCCTCAAATTAAGATGAAGCCTAAATACTACTTGACATCAGCTTATACAGTCCCTAAGCTCAAATGAGTTCGTCTTCTATACTCTTGGCTAATACTGCAAACAACAACAGAAAAGTTCTGAAGTGTTCAAGGCTTTTTGTCTTTTTTACCTGAAGAAAAGCACAATTTTCTTTGGAAGATATACAGTATGTAACTGAGGTTCTCCAAGTGATGCCTGGGACAGAAAACATTGTCAGCTGTGTTATCCATCAGCTATCTCAGATTAAAATTTAACTTATATTTAAATTCTAGGCTGAGAGTTTTCTTGCACAACACTTTAAAAAAACAGGGTATTTGTTAAAAGGGAAGTGCTTGTGTGGCACATTCAATACTTTTCCTTGCTCATCTGACAGGCTGCTGTGCAACACAGGACTTCTGATGTTCGCAGCCCTAAGGACACTTCTCCACACAAGTAAAAAAAACAACTCGTAATGCCAGCTCCAAGTATGACTTTGTTCCTAACTCTCCAGATGAGCACCTGGACTCAGCAGGAGTGGACCATTTGGGAATTTGAGACCGCAAGGATCCCAGAGTCTCCAAAGCCAGAACATACAGGGCTCTCACTGATTTTCTGAGGACCTGAAGTTCCCTGCTGCAGCCTCAGAAATCTATAAGATGTTAGTGTTTGCAGTCTCCCAGCTTTCTGTAATTATTGCAGAAAGAATTTTGAATAAACAGCTGACAATACACATCAGATCAAAATGCCAGCAGTCTCTCTTCCTCAGATGCTGCCGAGCAGCAATTCTAGGGAAGAGAAGGTGCCTAGAGAAATGCTTGCTTTGTGTGAGACTGTTGTTTCTGATGCCCAGTGTTCATCATGGCTCCATAAAACAGTCCTCCAGGTTCTCCACCAGGTGCTCAGAAATGACAGGTTGCGTTTAACTATGGGCTTACAAGTGTGTCTTTAAACATTTCAAAACCACGTTATAAGTCTATAGACAACTAAGTTCTTCAGTAATATAAAATCCCAACAAGATTAATTGGGAATTTCACTACAGGTGTCAAGAACTTTTGAGTTTCCAATAGGTTGCCGTAGGTACCTGAACAAATTGTACTCAAGTCTCTTCAGTAAATATCACTACCAGCCTTAAGAGAGAAAGATCTAGGTTTCCTAGAAATAATTGGCTTTACTTATGTTCAGCTGTAAGTTTGCTCAATTTATTAGTTCTCAGGTTTGCCTTGTGGAGCCCTATCTGGTATGAACTAATGTTTTCTTAATGCTTACAAAGCATTACAGCAGTCATTTCATGATGCCAAAGTAAGCTGATTTACACGAGAGCAGCAAGTTTACTTTTAATTATAATTAACAAACCAAATGAGCTCTTCCAAGGACAGAATGGCAGTTATTCTTGAATATTAAAACTATTTTGCTTAAAGCAGGAACTATCACAAAGACTGGGATTGCTTTTGACTCCGTATTCTCATTCCTGGAACAAGCAAATCAGGATACAGCTTTCTGACCAGCGTAGCAGGAAGACATTGTACTTTGTTTCCCCATAAATAAAACATATCTTCATCCTTCTGCAAATGGAACAGTGACTGAGCACCACCACATCTTGAAGATATGGTTTAGGAAGTAAGGAATGTGATAAAAGTCATCATCGATAAAGCCTTCCACCACCACAGTAATTCTGAATTCAGAGGTACTACGTGAAGAAATTAGAGACAGAAAGTAGATAGACCAGTCCAAACTACCTCCCAAAGCAGACATTTTTTCCCTTTCTTGACCATCTCTGCTGAACATGAGGGTTACCCAGAACTTGACTATTCGTGCAATGATGAATGCATGGAACAAACACAGTGCAAGATGACCTACCTTATGGATAAGCAAGCTTTTAAGTTGGTGTTGGTTCAATTACACCCTGCAGTCCAAATAATGCAAATATTATTGTGAAGTGGCCATATGTTTAAGAATGCACAAGTGTGGTACAAGAACTTGCTTATATCTGTAACCCAGACAATGCGCAGTCTAGATTTTGATTTTAGGCACATCAACTCTAACATCACCTATTTTATTCTTTACTTAAATAAATAAAAACAAACCCCTGCAAATCTAGCCCCCACACTCACGCTCCAGCATCAACATGACTTTTGTGTCATCCTTTAGATGGAAAGAAGAGGCAAATAACACACTTCCTCAACACATGGAAGACGACATACTTCTCAGATAAAACCAGTGAGTTTATGCATGAACTCTTACATTCTTGCTATCTTGCTCAAGTGGCCACTATTTTTAATAACCTGATAGTTTTCTGCCAAATATTAAATGTTTTTTTGTGGGGAGGGGGGGCAGAGGAAGGAGAGTTCTGGAACTGTGATATGGAAGCACACAGACCAGGTAATTCTCTAATGATGAAGTTAAACTCCTGGGCTACATTTTGATGTGTCAACTTTTCATTACGCATTCTCATATCCAGAACAGGATGCCAATTTCTCTTATTCTAAACTAATAAACCTGTGAGAAAGGAAACATCTTAGTCCTAAATGCATCAAGAAGTAAAATTACTTTTATTGCTACCTTGTGAAACAAATACTGAAAAAAAATACAGACAAAAAAGATCCAAGTGTTATGAGTAGCACAGAATCAGACAAAAACCTACAAATGTTGAGTAGACATGTCCCAGTATATTGAACAGACTTGTCTCAGTATGGAACAGTTTATAAGCTTAAGGAATGCAAGGATTTCAGCTTGAAAGAGTCATTGTTTAGGCTCTGTTGTAGAATACAGATAAAGGTATTTACAGAGAAAATATCTTTCTGATATTGTTTGATGGAAGAAAGTGTATCATGTTAGTGACAGGATTTCTCCCCAGCTCTCTGGATACAAAGCAGCTTGGTTCAGAGGCATCCATCAGAGGTCATCATTAATCTCTGTAGTAATAAGATCCAGGCTCTTTAAAAGAGCTGGCTGTTAGCTGAAGATCTGCCATCACACTAAAAACTTTCAACTCTGGAGTTACGAGGAAACAGATTAGATTTGTTCTATCAGCAGTGTGGAGAGAAACTGTTAGTAGAGCTCTAAAACTAGACTGCATCAAGAATTTAGGATAACTTATGAAGTGCTAATAAGCTGGGAGTGTTATGTCATTTTTTAAATTCTCAATTGAAGACTCGCTAATTAATTTATGTCCATGCACAAAGCACGACATTTTCCAGGAACTGTTTCCTGCTGTTGCACAGCTAACAGGCAAAACAATTCTGTTCTTATAGAGATTATCTTCCTGTGAAAGAGCAGCTGATCCACGTATTTATTTCAGTTTGTCCAAAAAAGCCCTCTTTATAATAGGGAGCCCCAAACATATTAGAACACTGAAACAGAAGTTATCAGTTTGTGTGAAATCATAACTCTTCAGTGAAGGAACCATAAGGCCATTTGAAGGAACCATAAGAACCATTCACTAAAGCCCACAATGCTTTCCCCTTCCCCTAGTGTCCCCTGGACAAAACCAAGTAACGATTACAACATCAAAATACGCGATCAATATGAACATATACTCAGTCAGATCTGCAGTTTAATGCAATCATGACCAAGAGAGCAGCTCACACAGTGATGAGAAGAAAGCCACAAAAATCTCCTTTAAGAGCAAAATTCCTGTCAACAGGGGCTTTACGATTCATATAAAGCCCACACCGGGATGCTGTCCAATGCACACGATCCCAAGGCTTCAGAAAAGCAGTAACATCAGAACACGCTGACATGCCTTGTAATATTTAGGTCTAAGTGAACTCTTAAAAAATCTCTTCATCGACAAAACTCCCCATACATGCACCCTCTGAGAATACAGAATTACTTGTGAGCGCTGTCAAAACACTGAAAGTCTACTCAGTTACAAGACAAAACCACGCAAAACATCCTTGTGACACCAACTCTGAAGGAATATTAACATCTGTACGCAAATGTTGGTTCCAGCTGCTAGAACACATGCCTCCTTGGTACCAGAATAGGGGGAAAAAGCTGACACTGAGCACATGGCTAGCATCAGTAGCAGGGAGCAGCCTTGAAGCAGCTATTTTAACGAGGCATCTTTGGTATCCCAGACCAGGTACAGAGTGCTCAGGAAGAATCCTGCAGCCTGAAGTACTTACGTTGTTCCAAGGAGACTTCTATAATTGGATTTTATTATGGCATCCTCCTATAAGCACAGGAAGTCTTTCATTTCCCACAGGAATAATTCCAGCGAAGACTAAGGAAAAGCAACCACCCTATCTCAACTGGAAACCAAAACCCTGTAATAATGCATCACATACTCCTGGAAAACAGTGAAATACCAACCTTCCTAGCTGCAGTAAACTGTGAGAAACCAAATCTTCTCCTCTTTTTTTTTTTTTTTTTTCTCATATCCCACACAAGTTTGTGTGGATATGAGATTCCACAATGTTAAGTGAGCTCTCGTTTTTCCAACAGAAATTACTACCTCACAAAGGAGGACCACATTTAAAATAGTTGTTTAGGATTATCTACTGCTAATTGTAGCACTGATTTCCTTTCAGGGAAAACACACTTAAATACTAAAAATGGTAAGAACTAAAATTTAAAACAGAACTATTTGCTGCTCACCCCAGCTCCCACATCATTGCAGCAAACTAGTACTGGGGACTTCCACTTCATAGTCAGTTCTAGGCAGGGAAGATGCAACAATTCAACCCACAGAATTCAAAGCTGATCTGTGGTATTACATACTTTAGAAAAGGTCTGTCTATATTCACATTAAAATTCAAGAAGTTGCAGAAGATTCTGAAAACAGATCTTAAAAAAAAAAATGTCTTACAAGGTTAGACATTTATAAAGAGAAGACATTAAAAACATTTAAGAAACAGGAGAGAATTTAATTAAGTTCTAAAGTAGCAAACTGACCTGTATTAACTCATCTTTTTGCATGATCAGAAGTTGTCTTAAAGCTATATCTCTTTCCTGTATAAAACAAAGGGTTTTCTGCCATCAAAGAGAATTTCAGAAGAAAACAGTTTTCACTTAATGTTCACTGATGTTTTACTTCAGCTTTCAGAAACAAAAAGAGCTACACAACACCATTATCAAAGTAATGAAAGAGGTCTCCAGTTTAGAAACATCACACGTTGTGACTAATGCACATAATCAAAATTAAGCAATTCAATCCAGTCCACTGCAATATAACTTAACATTTTATATATAAACTTCTGTTTAATAAATTTGAATTAATTTAATAAGTTTACTTGAATTAATATACTAATAGTGATTGAACTTTTTTTGATGCTGTAGGTGCATTTTGCTTTCATTGATTACGTTACAGATAGCAGATACACCACAAACTTACCTTCAATAATCCTATTATGTGTTCTAGACCAAGACCATGTAAAAACACTTCCATGTCATCAAAAGTTGAAGATGAACTGTAAATATAATTAATGAGATTTGAGATGAAAACAGTGGAAACTAAAAAAGACACCCAGAACAAAATACTATAGAAAAGTTCCCCAGACAAAGCACTGGGGAGCAACCTAAAGTTGTACACACCTCCTGATGACAGCAGTATCTCATAAGCATCATGGAGTACAATTTATTCTATTGGAATTTTATAAATGGCTTTTCTGTCTAATGAGTTTAATTGAGCCTAAAGGGAATGATTTAATAAATAAATGTCATTTTAAGTAGCAAATTGTTCCAACTGAACCTTGAAGTTGGGTTGCAAAAGCCTGAAAAATTTGGAAGTGGGGTTAAGGAAGATAATGATGTATTCATATCAGGTAACATTCATATAAATTGGATTCAGCCCACAACTGTTATCCTTCCTGTTCCATTTAAACCAAAAAAGGTTATCAAGAAAACAGGAATGTCTACAATTAAAGATAGCGGAAATTAGTCTGGTAAGAAATTTGTTGTCAGAAGACTACTGTTTAGAAGGTAGACTGAGAAAGCAGTATAACCCACTGTAGGTTCAGAGTTTAACATTTATACGAAGGTAAAATATCAATTTTTATCCCCTGCCCTACCAAAAGATACAAAAATGTAAGGGAATATATATCTAAACAGCTTTCAACAATCAGATAAACAGCTGTAATGAACAGAATTAAAACAAAAAGCAAGTCGTACGAAATGCAGAAAGGACTAATGCAATTGCTACAGCAAATCCTTTGCCAAAACCCCAAGTTAAGAGACCCCAAGTTAAGCTCCATCTTATTGTGGGCCCTGAAATGGAGGTTTGCCCCCTTTTCACATCAAAGACTTAAAAAGCTCCTATTAAAATCTGGAGAAAAAAAATGGATGCGATGGAGAACCCCCCCCCCCCCCCCCCCCCCAAATGTAAACCTCTCTGAAAATTGTTTTGAATACATAAGAAAACTTTTCAGTTTTGCACATTGAGAATCTTGCATTCTAGGATTTCTGGTATTTAAGTATATTTATCCCTTTACGAGGATGGACACCTAAATTACATATGAAGGAGTTTATAAAAAAAGAGTTTAAAATAATTTTAATAGAGCTTAAAGCCATCATCCCTACCATGAAGTTGTGTACAATTGTGTTATCCTCTGCCTGGTTCCTCTCCTCTGAACACACAAACAGCAGCAACCAGTCTTTGAAGTACGCAATTCACATATACTTCCAAACATTGCATGTACAGCCAATGCCCCTCAACCGGCAAGAGGACACAGTGTCTGTGAATGACCTCCAGTAATGAAATCTTTTTATTTAGGCATTCAAAGTGCTGAGTTTGCAAAGTGTTTGGGAGTCCTTGGGTAACTCAAGACTTCTGGTCCTGCTAAAGGTGCAAGGAAAGGACATTTTTTTCCCAGGATCAAAGAAAGGGCTATTCAGCATCCAGACAATAACTTGAAAGCCCCTGAACCAGAAAAGGACCTAATCCAGGAGCTGAAGAAAGCAAATTCCTGACAGGTATGTGCATTTCCTTGTATAGTCCAGGGCTCTGGAGCTAGGACAATTGTCTAATTAGGATGACAGACAGCAACAACTGAAGCTACACTGACTACCTAAGGATGACAACAGCAAGGACGACAAGTTATACTCACTGACCCTGCATGGTGGGACACAATTGATACCCAGTACCAGATTAGGACCAACTGAGAGAAGAGGGACTTGAGAAGAGAAGTGGCAATGCCTGTGATGAAAATTATGCAGCAAATGGCAGGAAAGAGACATCCAGCTCAAGGAAGTATGATTGAGTAAACATAGGTACCAGTGTACCTCTTGGCTATCACTAGATGAAAAAAAACAACTCACTAGGGGGTGGGTATGTGTGTGTGTGGAAACGGATAAGCTATATTTGTAAGAACAGGCGTTTAACAGCCAGACATCTGGTATACTCCAGGGAACTGTTTCCTGAAACCAAGAGTTCTACTAATTACCAGAAATGCTCAAAGTTATGAAACATCAGAACTAGCTATTGTTAATATAAAAATCCTTGAGCTTGACAGAAATGCCTGTTTGTATAAACAAATCAGTTGCTCATCTGATGCAGAGAAAACCAATAGAGTTTAGAAAAAGACTACGGAAACACTGTGAAATCCTGGAAGCCCAAGAATTGCCTAATACAGAATTACATTTGGATAGCTAGACATCTGGCTGCCACAAAGTATTTTAAGTGGGCTTCAGGATTTCAGTGTCTTGTTTTAAAAGCTTATCAAGATTACCCAGACGCTGCTAGAGTGTCTTCTAGCCACCGTCAGGTTTCAACAGCACTACATCCATTTGGATAACGGCTGCATAGTGTTAGTTTATTTCCTTATACCAGAAAAAGCCTGGGAAACTTCCTAAATAAGCTAAACCTATTAAAAAAAAAAGAGAAAGATCTGTTCTAACACTGAGGTCATTAAGTACAAACTCTATCTAGGAGTACAAATCTTTGTGAAGAAGACCAATCTATTTAAAAGAATGTCACATTCATGGCAAGTATACAGGGACTCAAAAGATGATCTCCAAGAAGCAGACAGATCCCATGGGAGACCTGGTTCATAGACGGGGAGATATGCCCAGAACAACACCTTCAGGAATCTATGAGCAGTAAGATGCAAAACCAAAGAGGACGGCATAGATAATTGATTTTACCATGCAAAGCCTTCACCCCTCTGCTCCAAGAAGCACCTCTAAGATGACTGTGGTTGAAGCACTAGAAAATAAAAATCTGTTTGACATATACATTTGTCTAGCAACAGAACCTAGTGAGGCTTTGTCCAAACTGAGGTACTCTGTCGGAGACTGAGACTACCTCAATGTGAACTGCTACCTAGTGAACTGCCATCAGCCTAATGATACAGAACTAGGGCACTTCAAATTCAGCATGACCTAGCTGAGCAGGGACACAAAGAATCAATATGACCAACCAGAACAGACTATGGGCACTAGAAGTTGTTTTCTCAAGACCATGTAGCTCAAGGAGGCAAGTGGATGGTTTACTGAGGACTTCTTAGCCAACACGTTCTGGAACAAAACTGTATCAGAGGTCTTCAAAGTTGCTGAAGCAGGGGCTGATTTCAGTCCTAGGACACCTGTAAGCTTCAGGGTCAGGGTATGCTATGCAAAAAGTTCTAGAGCTTAACTAGTGTTCATACTTAATTTTGCCTCTCATATACACAGAAAAAAAGGGCATAGCTCTTCCTGGTGGCATGAAGCTGAAAACGGGCGTTCAGTGAAAGCATCAAAAATTTAACATCAAATGAAGATAACCACACAACAAGGAGCATCCAATAGGGGAGCATACAAATTGAACAGAGCTGAAATGAACTGAAGTGACATTGGACCCTGGCTCTACTATACTTTACACCAAGTGAGAGGAAAGAAAGATCTAGAGCACTCTCTTTCTTTATAACGCAAAGGAACTTTGCAATCTTGAAAAATTAATAGTACATTAATACACTTACTGTGGACTCTTGGTAGCACTCCAAACAATACACAATACATATCAGTACAACTTAATCATTGATATGAACAAATACAATCTCTTAGGAATGTTTATAAGCTAAAATTACATTATGACTGCATTTACCCAACTCTGTGGTCAGGGACAGCTGTCAGAAATTTGTAGATAGCCTCTTGCTTAGTCGTTTCATGGTATCTCCCTTGCAAGCGATTTGCAGCCAAAGAGAGTAAACTATAAATCTGGAAGAGCCAAAATGAATTAATTACTATTCAAACTCAAAATGCATAAAGAAATACACAGGAGTAAGACTACAAAGAGTTCTATCATAAATTACTGCTTACAGGGAACATGAAACATCTGCCACGTCTTCTTCGCTGAAGCATACAACTACAATGAGGAGTTAAGACTAAGCCCATGGAGTTTATCAAGAGCATTTCTGAATTAACCAAATTCCAGCACCATGAACTGACACAGAGCAAAACAGTATATACAGTAGTCTAAAAAAGTTAGCATCTGTCATTACAGAAGCAGCAATACACCAACATACTCATTTTTGTGGTTTGTAGACAAGAGTTCTACATACCCAAGGGAATAAGTTGTCTAAAGAGCATGAGGCATATGAGTATTTTAATGTCTCCATTTCCAGTGCATATATGGACCCAACATTTAGCAATTTACAACTGACAATCTAACTTAACTCTCTCTGACAGACAGGGATTCTTTCAACTGATTAAAGAAGCAAGCCTTCTGCCAGGCATCACCATGCATCAGTGATGGATTCCAGAAGCTGAATTGCCCCTGTGTGAGTTTTGAGATAGTTACTAGAAAATCCAGCAAAACAAGTAGAACCTCAGTAAACCTAAAGGAATGGTGAAACCACTTTCCTGAAATTCAGGTGACTAGCCAGTTTTGTATACATATACACATACACATATACGTATGTGTGGTGGGTTGATCCTGGCTGGCAAACAAGCCCCCACCCAGTTGCTCACTCACTCTCCCCCAGCACGATAGGGGAGAATCAGAAGGGTAAAAGTGAGAAAAAAATTCATGGTTTGAGATACACACAGTTCAATAAACGAAGGGAAAAAGATCCCAAAACCTTTGTGATGCAGAGGCAATCGCTCACCACCTCCCACCAGCAGACCAATGCCCAGCCAGTCTCCAAGCAATGGCTACTTCGGAAAAAATCCCCTGACAATTTTATTGCTGAGTATGATGTTATATGGTATGGAGTACCCCTTGGGTCAGCTGTCCTTGCTGTGCCCCTTCCCAACCTCTTGCTCACCCCCAGCCTACTTGCTGGGGGTGGGGGCCAGAGTGAGAAACAGAGAAGACCTTGATGCTGCACAAACACTGCTCAGCAACACCTAAAATACTGGTGTGTCATCAACACTGTTTTGGTCACAAACCTAAAACACAGCACCATACAGGCTGTTAGGAAGAAAAATAACTCCATCTCAGCCAAACCCAGCACAATAAGTAAGAAAAATATCTCCCCTCCCAGATATAGTTTCTGCAGACGCAGTCTATATGACAACCCAAGGGGCTGTCAACAGCCTGAAGAGCAGACCCCCAAGCTACAAGAAGCTCATGACCATTAAATATCTCAATACCATCTGCAAGACTTTGCAGTAACTGTGTGAAAGTTAGCGCTTCACAGGTCAAGAGGCAAGACCCACCTCTCAAGTGTGAGGAGCCTGTATTCCCTCCATGTCAGACAAAGTCGTGTTATAAGATTATATGGCCGTAGTCTGCTGAACAAGTCATTTATCAAAGGCAGAAAGTATTTGTAGCCCCTTTCAGTAACCTGAGCTAACAGATCACTGAGCCTCAGACACTGATCTTGCTAGCCTACAGTGACAGCTTTGCACATAGTTATCATTTTTGCTCCTGCCTAGCCCTGGAGTCTGGCAGGAAAAAAAAAAAAGAAAAAAAAGAAAAAAAGAAAGAAAAAAAGAAAGAAAGAAAAAGAAGCTGTAAAGTGAATTCACATAGATTTTTGAAGAGCCCCTGAAAAAAGCCACATCATTGGTAAGAGCAACTCAAAGCAAAACACACAGAAATCTGGTCTGGTTGATCCAACATGCATCATCTGGTAATAGTAAACAGATTTATTTTAGGAGTATAAATGTTGACTTCAGCAGCTCTTCCTTTACACTGACTGCTCTTTACAGTGGCTGCTCTTCCAATGATCTGATGACCGATTTTATACGTTCTTCCCTCCCAAGAATGGATTTTGAAGACGGTCAGTACCAACTCCCCCCTGCTTTTTAGCTTTAGCCTTTTCACTTTCCAATTGAATCAGAAACTATACACTGCAAATTAGTTTGATATCTACATTCTTTAACACACTTTGGCATACAGGCAAAAAACAACACATTTTTCTACATCTCATATCAACATTACTAACACGAATAATCCCTTGTTCTGTACCCTAAACCTGAAGTCAAGGATTTGGTGGTGGGGGTGAAGCTCCCGAAACATTATAGTATTTAAAGCCCTGTGAAAAGCTGGGATATAACAGAAAATAGTCTATATAGATGTAATAGCACAAGTATTCAATTAGCTGCTATAATTTAGTCATTAAAGTAACACTTCTACAGAAAATTATACAATTAATGAACAGATTTTTGAGGCAAAACACAGAATTTGCACTTCAAAGAGAAATGAAATCAAATACCTCTGAATGTTTATTGATTTTTGCTAGCTCTGCTGCTGTTTTCTCATCCTTAGTCTGTAGATTTTTGTCAGCTCCCAGCTCAAGCAACTTAACAATTACACTTTTATGCCCGTGCTGTGCTGCCCATATTAATGCCTGCAAAGAACAACTTTGTTTTACCAAGTTTACATACAGAGCAAAAAAGCACAGAGGTTCAATCAGTAATGCAACCTTCACAAGCTCTTTCTTACATGGCAGAATCCGGAGACAAAGACAAGTAATGCAAAACAATCTCAAAGTGGTGTTAAAGCAGAAGAATATATCAATGAGTATTTTTGAGGAAGCTGTACTTAGAAACAAGTTTGTGGTTTCTTACTTTTTAAAATTGTTATCATTAATTACAACACACAGAAGTAAATCACTTACTGAATATCCATTTTCATCTTGGGCATTTATGTGTGATCCATGAGCGACAAGAAGAGCAACAACCTGAGGATAGCCTTTTCTAGCTGCGTACATCAGTGGAGTCATTTGCCTCCTGAAAGAAAAGGGGACAGGTGAAAAAAATTATTTCAGGATATCAAAATCCAACTGCATTATCAAGTAGAGTACCTCAATTGTGTGAAGATTCTCTGTTCTATAGAAGAATTAAGCAGAGGATAAAAGCCCAAGACACCACATTCATGCTTCAGCACAAGGGTCAACTTAACAGAACGTACAGATTCAGCAATTCATTTATGTCCAGTTAGCAATTTTTAAATATTTTAAGAGTTAGCATTTATTTCCTGATTGAAATGAAGTCAAGAAGTCAGCTGTTGTCCTTCACAAGAGGGAAACTTAGAGGAAACTAAACAAGTCTCTTCAAGGAGTTTAGAATACAGGCTTATAATAGTTCTGGGAGAAAAAGTTAAAAAAACGTATCAATCTTTTATCACCTCCAAATTCAAGTAGTGCATTAAAACACAAATAACCTTAACATGTCCCAGCTATGAAACACAGTAGCTTGTTGACTAAACCATTTCTGTTTTGGTTCTGAACTACGCAAAACCAGTTTTTAAAGACCATCCCTCCTGCTGGTACCACAGACCCAGCGGCAGGCCTCTCATTTAGCACATGGACAAGCTTAATGAGAAGGGAATGGGCATAATTACAGATCACAGTTTTCACTCTACTAAAAGCAGAGAATATCAGCAAATCACTCATATTTTGCCCTCAGTTAAAAAAAAAAGGTGGCAGAGACTTTAATTTTTTACTTCAAAAATTATTTTTAAAAGACACAGCTTGAGTGACAAATTCTACACACAGTTTAATTTAAATCCAAAGTTCTGAAAAGAAATACACAGTTTTGTGGAGGGCAAGTTGTAAATCACAACTGAGTATTTAAGAGGAAGAACATTAAGAACAACAACTATGTACATACTTGCAAAGTCCTCTCTGGTAAAAACAATGTAAGCAAAGGAACCACAGGTCACACAACTTTTCCCGGTGTGCTCAGGTAAAGTGCAATAGCGCAGGGTGCACACGTATTATCAACATTCAGACCTGCTCCCCCGGCCCAGAGTGTCTGAGAAGAGTCTTCAGAGAATTACATACAAATAGCATACTGAAAATCTCAACTTTTCAAGTACTAAAACTAAATGTGCATCACAATATTTCTGTCCTTTATCCCATTTTTGTTTTCTGTTCCCAGAAGCGTATGTGTTGACACTTTCTCTCCTATGTATATTACTATTCCTTACAATTGCTGAAGAAGTGACTACTTACAGACACCACCTTTCCCATGATTCTGGTTTTGTTTTTTTTTTGTATCCCAAAACCATGATGGCAACAGACTACTGATCTTGTGCTTCTATTGAGATGCTTATAAGACGAAGCCATCATGAATTGCTCTGAATGTTTTAAAAGAAAAAAAAATATTGCTCAAAAGCTTCTCTTAGGAAAGTTATCTTTCCAGATGCCTGACACTTATTCTTTGGTGGAGTAAGATTGCAGAATTAAAAAAATGCAGTATTGGAGGACAAAGATGTGGAGTTTCTAGTTGCTATGAAGTAATTAGATTTAAGCTAGTGATGTTCAATTAAAATTTATTGTATCTTAAAATGTAATATTTTTTCCTGAAAAACTATCATGTATTCTTTTTACATAGAGTTCTGTGTCAAAAGTCTGCTGACAAAAGATTATTCTATCTTGTTAGGATATACTTGAGGGGAGGATCGCTCTTTCCAATATTGTGTTTCTTAATAATAAGTTCAATACCAACCATTAGAGGGACCCCGAAAAGCATATGGAAACCAAAGCAACTGTCTTAAAATACATACTTCCTGCCTCCTTCCAGAGAATTGCTAGCACTAAAGGCTCTGCTCATCTTTCCTTGTTATTGCTCATTCACAAAAGGATAATATTTTGTCTTATGCAAACACATTTAAAAGTACACTGAAAAAAATCCAGTCATATTACAAATTTGAAAGAGCTTTATGATAGGGAAAAGAAGTCAATTACTTGGAGATAAGCAAAAAGAAAGGTAACCAGGCCTTCAAGACATACAGTCAATAACAGAAAGGAACCTGGTAATGAAATGAAAAGACTTGCATCAGTCTATAACTAATTTGATTTAGTCCATCAACACTGCAAAAGCAGAAGTTCTGACTGAATATAAAGAGACATTTTTACCACAGGGCACAGTCTATCAGTGGAATCGGTTGCTCAGAGAAGTTTTGTAGTTTCCATCTTTGGCGGGTTTCAAGATCAATGGCAACCTAGCCCAATGTCATAGCAGAGGTGGCTTTAAGGAAGAAGACGGACTAGAGACCTCCTGAGGTTTCTTCTGACTTGAATTACCCTGTGATCCTATGAAAATTACTACAAAAATAGAGAAAAACACGCTATAATCTGCCCCTATAACTTAACAACTAACTGATGAGATAGTGAGATATAGATATCGATATATAGACATATACAGATATCTATTATTTTGAAGAATGAATGGAAATTGATTACAACCTAATAATTTGTAGCAACAGAAATCAAACTTGCTTGCCCAATGCGGACACTCACTCCCACACTTATTTCTATTCAGTGGCAGGTAACCTTTGACAGACTTTCCATGCTACCACATTTGAAGTATTCACATCTGACTGCAAAAACAGTCCATCCATGCTTGGTTTTTTTCTTTTTTTTCTTTTTTTTTTTTTTTTTTTGAACTTGCACACTGCTACTACCTCACAATTACCTTCTGCTTTTTCAAAGGAAAAATACTGAACAAAAGTCCAGAGGCTACAGAACGGTCTTTTCTCCAAAGAACATCATATAGTGGTTACAGCTGCACAGTACTGCAGACATGGTTTCTGAAATCAAGGCAACAACTCAATGACATTAAAGCCGCTGAAAAAGATTCTTCATTTTTAAGTAAAACCCAATAAACATGACATTTAAAAGGTACACCAACGTGAATACGCAATTAGTACTTCATGCGTTCCATTTTAATGTTCAAGTTTTAATTTCAAAGGCTACAAGCCATTTCAGGGTAGAAACACATATAGTGTTCCATAAATTTGCAATTGCATTTACACACCGCTATATATGAGGGCTACCGTTTAATGTCTTGGACACATGCTGCATAGGCACCGCCTCAGAAAGCAAGGTCCATTTACACGTATGTCCACAAGAGGGAGACTAGAGCATTAGGGAAAACAAATCTTGTTTTCTTAACCCTGCAAAGAACCCCTGCAAATACAACAGCAAGCTGTAAGATGCCAAATCTACTGTTTCTTGCTAAAGTTGATGAGAAATTAAATGTATTGGCGCATCTTACCACAATCTAAAAATGTACATAGAAAGCGTAGTGATAACCATCCAGATAAAAGATCTGAAGAATCCTTTTGTCATTTCGAGGAACTGTGCAGACATTTGCATTTCAGCAATCTGGCTTGCAGATCACCTTCTTGTCCAAACACCTGTGAAGTCCTTTTGTATGGCACAATTTGCCACATGACATTTGCCCATATTGAACATGATACTCAAGTGATAGTCAATAAATAAATAAAAATCATAAAAGGCATATAAGCATCTTGCCTGTTCCAACTACGTTTGCTTCCAGCTATGCAGCACCTAAATAAAAAGCAAGGGATTCTTCGCTGGTCACATATAAATGAAGGGGTTTTTTTTGTTTGTTTTTATCTTTAGGTCTCCCTGCTTTTATATCAAGGCTGGAGAAAAAGACAAAACAAAAAGGTTTTTCAGTTTTCAGAGCCATCCAAAACTTTGTATGTGACACCTACGCAAAGATACAAGAGGTTCCTATAGGCTCACTTCATCTTCATCTTGTCAAAAAAATGGGGCAAAACATAATCACAGGACAGCAAGCTGAGTGGAACAGCCCTAAAAGCTACCACTTGGAGCCTCCTACCCTGGATAACCACATGCCATGATAAAACCAGGTGATACAGCGATAGCTAGCTATCTCATTGAAAAATTCACCACACTTGAGAAACACACATTCTTATGTTTGGGACCATGCTCTCAAGCAAGACAAAGCTCATCTTCCTGGAAAATGTCAGAAGAGGGAGGAGAGGAAGAGAAGATGTTTTCTATCTAGACACAGGTTTTCTTCCATCGGGGAGATATCTACAGAAAATTCAGTATTTCAGGTTGGTGATTTTGAGAAGCATAAACTGTATGTAAAGTCTCATAACTGGATATATGTTTATTAACTAGACCAGTATATCACTAACATTAGAAAAAATACAGCAGGTAGAAAACAATTTAACCTTATGAGTTTAATCTCAGTCTTTTCTTATTGAGATCCCAAAGGAAGGAAATGATGCTACAAGACAGTAATATTTTAGTCTATTGATCTGCAAACTGAACACTGCTTCAGACAACCAGAAAGCATCTTCAGAAGCTTTTGGAGCCAGTTTGACCACTCCAGTGCTGTACGTTAAGCTTGGAACTGAGAAACAAAGCAGTGACAGTGTGTCCACAGCAACACAAGGAAAGCTATTTGCCCCTTTTCTGGCTTACTGGGGTTTTAAGCGATGACATGGGAAACCCTATACAACAAGTAGTATCGGAAGAACATACTTTAGTGTACCGTGAGCTCCAAGACACTTTTTCCGGGCACTGTCTGCTGGAGAAAGGTAAGAGACTCCCCTACCTTCTTGAAGCAGAACTTGTTAGGAGAATGAGACATACAGCTCTAATAAGAAGGTTGGGCTGGAAAAGACGACAGCTTAGTTTCAGGTTCACTAGTTTTAGGCTTCATTTCAGATTGCCGGTTCTTGTACCTTTCTGCTTCTGAACTCTGTTTACATGAATGTTTTAAAATTAAAAAGGCATCTGTGTAAGTTCCACAGCACACAGAGGTGGGAAGGTAGACAGCTACAAAGTTATCATCATACGACTACAAAAATACAAAGGATGTGATTATAAAAGAGATTAGCATAAAAATTAACAAAGGGGATGGCAGAACTCTATGCTGTGACATTCCCAATTATCCTGCCCTGTCCTCCTTCATCCTCACTCCATCATATTTTTTACAAG